CGTGATACGCATTTGTCTGAGTTAATTAGCTGCTATAGTTTGACAGGCACATGCATAGTAGCCCCACCCGGACACAAACAATGCAGTCATCTCTCGTGACTCACAGTTCCCTGATTTCTGCGTATTTTGAAAAGTCTAGAAATTGCGTATTTGAGTGCAGACGCATAAAAACATTTGAACGCAGGTTGTCTGTGTGCCAAGCAGTGTGAACGGCAAAGTTCGGTTGGCGATGATCATTTATCAAGCATTGGGCCTCCTAGTATTTCGCTGTATCGGACCTTGTCCCTCCTATCTGGCAAAGTGCCCACTGAGGTGGAATTGCTCGTAGACATATCTGGCACCCAGCCCACACTGCCAAGTGGAAATGGTGGAACTCGCAGAGGCGTTCTGCTCTTCCTGGGAGTCATGTGCCATACATTTAGCTTCTGTTTGTCTGCTTTTGGTAACTCACAAGTGGTTGCACAGTCTACTCAACTACCTGTAGAATACAGGTAAATCATGAGTGGGTGAGTGAGTGAGTGGGGAGTGAGTGAAAAAGGGAGTGAGTGAGAGTGAGTGAGGGAGGGAGGGAGGGAGAGAGTGAGTGAGAGAGTAGGGAGGGAGGGAGGGAGGGAGGGTGAGAGTGAGTGAGTGAGTGAGGGAGGGAGGGAGGGAAAGAGTGAGTGAGAGAGTAGGTGAGTGAGTGAGGGGGGGGGAGGGAGGGAGGGAGAGAGTATGTGTGTGAGTTGGTATGTTACTGTCTATGAGTATATTGAAATGTAAGTAATTGGTCTGAAATTGGTTCGAATGAAGAGGGAGAAAGTGGACAAGCAAAGGAAAGACAAGGGGATGAATGAAGAGGAGAAACTAGACAAGCGAGTTCTTAACTATTTGATAGACCTGGGGACTCACAAGTTCAGGACAATGACCTACTTGTCATATACAGACTGGTGACATGCGGCACTCTGACTTTCAAGAATTCTAATTATGTAATGCCATTGTGCATCTCCTTAACCCCAGCTGTGCTAATGAGATAGGGTGATTTCCTGGTTGGAAACCAAATCTAGTGATTAAGTGAACAAAATCAGATAAGGACACACTGAATCACTGAATTGCATTGCCTATCGGATCAGAAATGTCTAATGTTAACAAGTTATTTTTAAGTGAATTATGCTGAATTAGTTAGATTACTGACAATAACCCAAACAGCTTTATCCTTAAGATAAGATGAGAGATAAGACTTTATTATCCCAAGGGAAATTCATATTACACAGTTGATTAGCACTAAAATATGAAAAAAAGAAAATATACAATATTAAAATATGTACATAGGAAAAATAAGACGCTTACTGATATAATATAAACTTTAATAAAAGGGATAGCGGCAGGATAAGATTTGTGTACAGCGAACTGTTACAAAGTATGAAACAGGTAATCATTTAGAACACTAATATTGGCTGGAATGAATGATTTCCGGAGCCCTGCTGGTTGATATTCGGAATGAAGTATATGGCTGCTGTCATTTAGTATCTTCTGCGCCTTTTGGGCAATTTGCTGCTCATAAATTTTGCTGATGTGTTGAAATTGGGTACCTGAGATTTTGCTTGCTGTATTTATAATTTATCCATTTTAGATTTATTTTGAACAGACAGGCTCTACCCATACCAGCAGTAACATTAAAAACTAAAATGCTTTGAATAAATATTCTATCGAGGACAGAGAGTTTTGTAGTATGAAGTTTATAATATCTAAGATGCTGTAAGAAATACAATCACTTTTGGCCCTCTTCATAAATATGCTCCATGCATTCCAAGTGAGTTTTGAATCAACAATGGTGCTGATATTGTTCATCCAAATCAATATTTTCTTTTTATCAATAACAACAGGCAGAATTTCGGTCCTCTTTTTTCCTGAAATCTATAATCATTTTGTCTTTTTAACATTTAGAGTAAGAAAATTAATCACCAATTAAAGACAGTTTTTGAAATTTGGAAGCGTTAATCATTTTCCGACTGCTTTATAAATCTGGCCAGTGCTTCATCATGTGGAAACTTAACGGTTCAACAATTGCTAAAATTACTAATACCGCATTCGACGTAATAAGCGCCCAGGGCGCTCTCAAAATAAGAAAGAGGGGGCTCTTATTAGAATATTATTTTGGTGAAAAAAACCAGAGTTGAAAGATAAATTTCGTGGTTTATGCTGACAGCCTGAAATGTTTATGTACAACAGTTATATTTTTCTAGAATTTAATTGCCCATAATTGAGGGTGCATATAACGCACGAGTGCGTATTATACGCGAAAAAATAAGTCTTGTGTACATTGATCAATCGGAAGGGGTGCCAATTGGGATTGTTCACTAGCCAATATATATTAGCAAATATCGCCGTTGGCGCTTATTAGAGCGGGGCGCTTATTACGTCGAATACAGTAGTCATTTGTGTTTAAAATAATTAAAACAGGAGCGAGCACAAAACCTTGGGGGGGCACCAGTAATGAAAAGGTCACAGAGGATTTGATACCATTTACAGTCACAAACTGTGGTCTGTTTACAAGAAAAGATTCTATCCATTTAATAATTGTTGAATTGACAGACATGTTAGATAATTTTGGCATAAGCAGATGAGTCTGTATGGCATAAAGCTCCCACTGGTGACACGAATACTGCGATATCAAGCCATATTTCATCATTTGAATAAGAGGTAATCCAATAGTGTCTCCATGCTTCCTGTGGTCCACACACTTATAGCTGATGACCTAGTTTACTGGTACTAACAGCTCATCTTGCAGGCCAAGAGGATTGTATGTGTCACTTGTGTCCTGGTATAGGCTATTTGTCTGATCCTAAGTTTGTATACTGTTTGCTTTCATATGCACAGAAATAGATTTATTTTACAGACCAGACTTGACAGGAAATGATTATAAATTGATTCAAGGAAGTATTTCAATAATGAATTTGAACAAAGGATGTGACATTTAAGATATACACATTATTTGTACTTTTCTTCAACAACTGTTATGGTCTGTGAGCCTTTCTGGCCCTGAATATTTGATGTTTAAATTTTTTGCAAGTCGGAAATAGGGTTGGAATGGTTTGGACTGGTGCAGGGGAGGTAACTCTCTGAGACTGAAAGATTTTACAGCACTTCAACATTGCATAAAATTACTTTATCGATAAGGGAAGGTCGGGATGATTGCTGGGTTAAATGATGAAGGTGTTTTCATGATTCATTTACATTTTACATCTCTGCCTCTTCATCCTGTCTTATAACTTTGTGACACAGTGTTTTTGCTAAGTAATATGATCTCATCTGTCTTCAAGATAAACCCTCCCCACCCTTCACTGCACAAGGACCAGCACAGAGCCTGTTAACTGAATGGAATTTTGTAACTTATAACTCCACAATCTCTGCTCAGATCTGAGCACATTCTGACTGAGGAGGATATGGTATTATGGCACTAATTTTTAAAGTGAGATTTGTGAAAACATTATGCCCTCTCCAAAACATTTCACTAACAATTCTTACATTTAGTTTATGACTATATAGAGAATCTCACCCGAGTGTCTTTTGATATCAAATATATCAACACGAGTTGATAAAAGTGGAAAAATCCGAGGCTTGCCGAGGATTTTTGCCACTTTTATCAACAAGTGTTGATATATTTGATATCAAAAGACACGAGGGTGAGATTTTATTTATCATCCAACATCATTCTTTCAACTTTTTCAATTTGTAGACAGTAATTAGCAGTGTCTTCAGTGTAAAAAGTACTGCAAACAGCTTCAGTAGCAGAGCCATTAGTGATGTCATTTGATTGTGATGTCATGGTAACCAGTGATGTCACAATGGTCTGCAAAGCATTGTGATGTAATTTCATTGCAGCGATATCTACAGTGTAGATATCCCTTGATCTCATCCAAGCGATATCTCCTGTGGGAGCCAGTTTTGGATGATAAATTTTAGTTTTCCCTCTGATTTGACTAGTTTGTAGTACATGATCAGCTGTCCAGTGAGATCACCCCTTACAATTATCTGCCAGTGTATACTCTAGGACTGCAGCACATATCATCAAATGTAACAGTATATTTATCTCATTCTGAATCACATAGTTAGTTCCAAAACCTTATTCTTTTCTTCTTCGAGAATATTCATGATTCAAAATGAAAACTAATCATAGTGATGGAAGACATGATTGCAGTCCTCATGAACTCTCTGTTAACGTAATTGATTCAAATAATCAACATGCCATTTAGATATATTTATTTGTTTGTTGTTTAAACTTGATCTTAGCAATAATCCAGCTATTTGATGACGGTCTGTTCATAATCAAGTCTAGACCAGACAAACCAGTAATTGATATCATGATCATCGATAGGGATACGATAACATACAATCAGCCAAGTCTCTGAGCCAGACCACCCAATCCATTTAGTTGCTTCTTATGACGAGCATAGATTGTTGGGGACCTATATTCTTAACCGGAACAGGCCATAGGCATTTAGAACCTGTTGACATGGTTGACTTATGGATGAAGAATTTGAATTCATAAGTCATCTCTGCATTCATTCACTGATTCATATCTTGGCTCATGGCCATGAGAGTTGTGTTTACCCTTTGGGGATATTTCACAGGTTTTGAGTCGTAAAACCACACATTTTTGTTTGCTTGGTTAACGAATCTGCCGACATTAAAAATAAAAAAATTATAAGAAAAATATAAATCAAAATGACAAAGTAATTTTTTTACCACTGACCTTTAAGATCGCTAAGACAATAAAATGGAATGAAGGGATTTTAAAATGACAAAAAAAAATTCAAACAGTAAATCATCATTTTATTTTTTATCACCTTAACAATTCAAATCAAACTTTAACTGTGAGTTCTTTTTTTTCCACACATATATCACTATGAAAATCCTTGAAGCAACAACAAAAAATCTGACCTAAAGTGACGTAGTGTTTTAGCCTATAACCAGGATGTATTCACAATGGTGCTTAGTCGTGTTATTATTTATTTCAGGTGATCCCGGAATATTCAAGTTGTGACACTACGTTTACTTGGGAATTATTTCTGTGATGTGATCAGGATATTGGATACTTATGAAGTGCCATGATCTGTTAGAAGTACCTGACCAGTCTTGATACTCAAGAGGAAGATTTGGATAGTACGGATGTGGTTAAAGGTAAGAGAATTATTACTTTCGAAATATTTGGATAGAATTCTAAGCAATGGAGAAGAAAGTAAACTGAAATTGGAACCAAATGATTTCATTTCAACAAAATCTGGGATAATGTGTGTACATTTTGAATAATAGAAATACTGGTTTGATGAAGGAATATAATCACTGTAAAATTAAATAAATTAAAATGCCAAAATATTTCAACTTCAGGTTTTTGAATAATATATACATATACATTTAATTTTTTTTAATTGGACTTATTGAAACATTAGTAAACCCAACATAGTAGCTGTTTAATTGTCATGCCTCTAAAATATTGACAAAGGGACACAGAGAGAGAGGGAGTTGGTTGATGTAATAACTCAATAAAACAAAATATAAAAAGAAGAAGTATTTGTCATGTGTGTCTCATCATGTCCACCATAATATGTGCCTTAGAATGTTGAATCATTGTTGTGAGAGTTGTGATTGGGATAGGATTAATACAAACTATGTAGAACTTGAATTCTTGACATGTTTAGGTAATATTATGTTAAGAAAATCTGGTCACATATAATCATTTTTGAGAAAGGTGTCTGAAAGATAGCAAGATATTACCTTCAAAATGAGATGAAATAAAGAGTTTAAATATAGGATGCAGATGTTTTTTAATGGTTTGATGTGAATAAAGAATAAATACATATTCATATATATTGAAAGAGAGAATTAAGAAATCATTTAAACTATTCAGAATGTTTATCAGATTTAATTTTTTTCTCTAAAAAATACAATTACCATAGTTAATTTGTTAAGCACAAAATATTATTTTTTTAAAATAGACGCTGTTTTCAATTTTTTACGTGTTGTAAATTAGAAATAAATATTATGAATCTTTACACACATTTTAGAAAAAGAAAGGAAAGCACTGATTGAAACCCTCGTAAAATCACCTGTTCTACCGACATTAAAGGGAAGTAACTCTTCTTGTATTAGTGGAAGTGACAAGTTGATGGGTGTTAAAATACAGAGTTATTTCCCTTAGACTAGTTGTCAGAAAGAAAAACTTTGACGGTTTGATCAAATGGTTTTATGTTGACTGAAAAGAATATTTCTTGCATATTTATTTAGTATCTACTTCTGGGAAGCAGTGATGATCTCTATTGAAAAAAAATGTGATTTGAAGTAAACAGGAATATTTCTGACTAAGTTTCGATTTGTTTTATTACCTTTTGTTGTAAGTAAACCTGATAAAGAGCAATGAATTCCTGTCATACTTATAGATAGCCATGCATGAATATGTGTTTCAACATTTTAGTTTTTCAGTCGTCTTTTTGACAGCCCTATCTGCTGTAGCCTGTAAGTAAGTGAGTGAGAGTGAAGCCATACAGTACCCCCATCAGCACTGTGACTGATCATGGGATTAAAACAGACGTAAAACCCAGTGCCCTCAAAACGGGTTCCAGATCTTGATTTCTACTGATGAATAAGTCAGTCTCTCTGATCAGACATTAGTTGTGATAGTGACATAATGCAGCATTAAAGGAATAGGTGTATCAGATACGGTTTCCTTGGCCATTTTTACGAGGACAGTGTAGGAAGCACAATTCTGACAGGCCTGTCCTTGCGTAAAAGATATATGGATGGAAATATGTAAATTACAAACATGTACTTGACTGTGGCAGTTACAAGAATCATTGTCATTTAATATGTCACACTGGCAGTATTTCAGCCATGTCTTTACTAGAATAGGTTATGTAGTTAGAATATTCAAAACATATCAACGATGGACAGAATAACCACTTGAGTGTCACAGGTTTGTATTAAAGACTAGCATTAGAGGGTTTAAACTATATGACTTTCATATGACGATACAAAATACGGCTAATAAACCTCGGCCACCCCACAAGGAACATGGGGATTCAGCTTAGCGTAGTGTAAAGTATGGAATGGAGTTTGGAATGGACTTTGGAATACAAAAAAATGGGATATACTCATCACACAGTGAAAAAAACCCTGGATTGTACAGACATTTATTGATACAATATCCTGAATTGATCGTTTGTCTACTCTGTAACATTTGGGATAATAAATAGACATTATAGATAACTTTTTTTGATGATAATAAACATGATAACGATCAAAATAAACCGAATATATATTTTGTCCTCCACATGGTGAGCCTCATTAATTACCAGTAGTCATTAGATTACTGTGTTGAGTAAACTGATTCCTCATCTAGGTGTGTCTCCTCTCCCTCAGTGCTGGTGTGGGCAATGGCTGAGGAGAGAAGCTGACACCCAGTCCCTTAGCTTCCATATATCGGTGACAGCTGTTTATAAACTGTCTTCGCATATAAGTTCGGAGACTTGTTTGTAAATAGGGTATGTTACGTTTGTCTCATTCCAAATTCCATTCCAGTTTTCCAATCCTAACTCCATTCCAAAATCCATTCCATACTTTACACTAAGCCCACTAGCTCTGCTACAGGACTGCCTTCGTGGTCTAGAATGACTGCGCGGAGAGTGGAAGGTCGGTGGTGCACTTGCACTATTAAATCAAAATTAGTCCAGACTGGTACAAGCAGCCTGTGTTACCCCTCCACACGTGCATGCACATCGCAAAATAAGAGCATTAATCTTGAATGTGACATTAAACCCCATTTCGCCTCTCCTCTGCTACCTGCGTCCTTTCACTTGCTGTGGCTTGTTGGCAAGTTAAGCCAAAAATTAAGATAAAAGAATACCTTACGATTATAACTGGTAAAAGTACATTGAAAATTGTTGTCTTACAGCTGGATGCCACTTCTGTTCTGTTTTTACTTACACCATTGTTTTCATTTAATAACATGAAAAAAAATCAGCACGCTATACACTAATACTCATCCTATTCAAGGAAAAAACACATAAAATAAAAAAATAATTGATTTTGGAATGGTAACAGAATGTTTTTTAATATGAAAAAGGATATCAGTAAACTTGTACCTCCCTGTCTAATGTATGATAAGTTAGTGAAACCTAAGGATCCTTGTAAGGCCTTTAAATTTTGAGAAGGGCAGAGAACTTTCTTTACCAGCTGCTATCAGTAACAGCCAAAGCATCATTTTACACACTGTTTATACCTGTAGTCGCCTGTACAGATTGTATTGCAAGCATGTTTATGACCTCATTTAAACCTTCTTTAAACTGGGACAATGGATAAGTGTCTTCAAGCCATGAATGAAATTCATTTTTATAGAAATTTGTCAGAGGTACACTTATAGCTTGGAAAAGTACAGAGAAGTCTTGTTTCATTCAGCTTTGGAGATGCAGCTTATCAAAGTATACTGACTTGGGAAGTGTTTAAAAAATATTAGTACCCTATGTATGAAAGAACATGTTATGAAAGAAGTCCTGTATCCATTCAATCTTTTAAAATTAATTTCTTTAAATCGATGTATGCCATTCCATTCCTCAGCTGCATACATACATATATACTTGATTTCAAATATACATACGTTCAAACACAACATGATCTGGATTGAAATAAGTGTATCAAATTTGAAAGAGATCGTGGCTCTCTGGTTTGCAATTCCCTTACACAATAGGATTTAAAGACTAATCTTCAATGGCTGACAGCCAACAACTGGGCTTTCAAGGTGGGAAAACCCATTTTGCAAATGTGAAGGACTACATATTTTTTGCCACTATTGTTGTCGGCCATTATGCCCCCTATTGCTAGGACACCATAAGGTTAGGAGGCATTGTGGATTTTTGTGAAAGAAGTATATATACCTATTGTGTGGACCGGAAATTGGAAAATACCTGTATTGTGTTTTTAACTGTCCCATGGCGGACGGCTTGAATCTCCCGACTTCAAATAAGTTTTCACTGTCACTTAAAGATGGGCATTAAATCAGGCGATAGTTTGTGCATTGGAAAGTGACCTCCTTTTAGCTGCAGTCACATCAGGTGATGCTGCATGTAGAGGACCCCATTATAATCTTGTTCACAAAGGATGTTTTTCATGATTATGTATTTGAATATTAATGTGTTATTTCATCCTTGGCGTTGGTTTGTTTACGGCAGCTGCTTTGATTTCACTGAAAGTACAAAACGTGCAGATTGTCTGTTCATAAGACTTGTGTAGATTTGAAAAAAACCTCTTTTTTTGTGTGTAAGGTTTGATTGTGGGAAAGTTTCGCAAGTTGGACTTTACGAATTCATCATTAACACATGTGTAGAATGGTTGTCTTTTTGAGTTGTTTGTCCTCTTTGGGTCCAAAATAGGACATCAGGTGTGTGGTAGGGCTTGTAAAGTGGCCGTATTGGGGAGTTTCAGGCAAGCTGGGGTCAGGGTAAAGTCCTTCTGAGGTTCATTCAGGAGTTCCAAAGCTCATATGGGCATTCAATTGGGATGCCAGTAATGAGATGGCTTTGTACGAAAGACCCCATGGGAACACTGATGCAGAAATGTCCCCACTACCTCGTGCTAGTCTCTCAAAGGGAATCTATGGCAGGATAGGTCTCCAGTACCTCATGCTTGTCTCTGTGGGAATCCATGACAGGGTCTCCAGTACCTCATTCTTGTCTCTGTGGGGAATCCATGGCAGGGTCTCCAGTACCTCGTGCTTGTCTCTGTGGGAATCCATGGCAGGGTCTCCAGTACCTCATGCTTGTCTCTGTGGGAATCCATGGCAGGGTCTCCAGTACCTCGTGCTTGTCTCTGTGGGGAATCCATGGCAGGGTCTCCAGTACCTTGTGCTTGTCTCTGTGGGGAATCCATGGCAAGATACACACACACACACACACACACACACACACACACACACACACACACACACACACACACACACACACACACACACACACACACACACACACACACACCTGTAGAAGATGACAAGGATGGAGGAAGGAGATCGTGTGGTCACTCTGATTGCTGTATCAGTATGGTATGGGTGTTGATGACGGCAAGGGAAGCGCATCTCTCAGGTGTTAACTGACTTTGTGGCATTCATTGCAAAGACATATTTTTTAATTCACAGT